AGCCGAGATCCGGAGGGTGGGGAGGCGGGGTCGCAGTGGTCTATAGAGATTTCATCCATCTGACCAGGAGTCCCATCGCGCAGTCTACAAATTTTGAATGCGTCCACCTGAGGGTGGGTGACCGGGACAGAATAGGGATTCTGTTAGTGTACCGTCCACCTCGCTGCACTACAGTCTCCCTACCTGAGCTAGCGGGGGTGGTCTCGAGCCTGGCGTTGGAGTCTCAACGGCTTCTTGTGCTGGGAGACTTCAATATCCACGCCGAGACGGCCCTCACAGGAGCGGCTCAGGACTTCATGTCTGCCATGGCAACCATGGGGCTGTCCCAACAAATATCTGGCCCCACCCACTGTGCTGGACATACATTGGACTTGGTTTTCTGCCAGGGATGGGAGCAAGGTGGCGGTGTTGAGGAGTTGACCATCTCTCCGTTGCCATGGACCGACCATTTCCTGGTCAGATTTAGGCTCACTGCGCCCCCCAACCTCTGCAAAGGTGGAGGACCCATTAAGTTGGTCCGCCCCAGGAGGCTTATGGATCCGGATGGATTCCTGACGGCTCTTGGGGATTTTCCCGCCGCCTCGGTAGGTGACCCTGTCGAGGCCTTGGTCGCTCTCTGGAATGGAGATGGCCAGGGCAATTGACACGATCGCTCCGGAACGTCCCCTCTCAAGTAGCCGAGCTAAACCAGCTCCTTGGTTTACTGAGGAGCTGGCAGTGATGAAGCGAAGGAAGAGGGAACTAGAGAGCGTGTGGCGTTCGGATCCGAGCGAGTCAAATCGAACACGGTTTGTGTCCTTTTTAAGGGCATATGCCGCAGCAATAAAAGCCGCAAAGAAAACTTTCTTTGCGGCTACTATTGCGTCTGCAAGGAACCGTCCGGCGGAGTTGTTCCGGATTGTCAGAGGTCTTTTAACTCCCGCCACCTCAGACGGGAGCCCTGACAATTCGGCCACGCGCTGTGAAGCATTTGCTCGGTTCTTTGCAGACAAAGTCGCTTTGATCCGTTCTGGTCTGGACACCATATTAAATGCAGTCTCCGAGGATGTGACACGAGCACCTGCTTGTCCTATTTTGATGGATTCATTTCAATTGGTGAAACCCGAGGATGTGGACAAGATACTTGGAGGAATGAGGCCTACACGTCCATCCTAGACCCCTGCCCATCCTGGCTTCTGAAGGAGGCCAGAGGGGGATTGGCTGAGTGGGTAACGGTGGTGGTTAACGCCTCCCTTCGGGAAGGCAAGATTCCAGCGAGCTTAAAACAAGCTATCATAAAACCGCTGTTGAAAAACCATCACTGGATCCCACTAGATTTGACAACTTTCGGCCAGTTTCCAATCTCCCCTTTTTGGGCAAAGTCATGGAAAGCGTAGTGGCCTCACAACTCCAGGTATTCTTGAGAGACACGGATTATCTGAATTCGGGACATGGAACTGAGACGGTCTTGGTCGCCTTAGTGGATGATCTGCGCCGGGAGCTAGACAGGGGGAGTGTGTCCCTGTTGGTGCTCCTGGACCTCTCAGCGGCCTTCGATACCGTCGACCACGGTATCCTTCTGGGGCGTCTTGCGGAATGGGCCTCGGGGGCACTGTTCTGCAGTGGCTCCGGTCATTTCTGGAGGGCCGCACCCAGAAGGTGTTATTGGGGGACACCTGTTCAACGCCACAGCCTTTGACTTGTGGGGTTCCACAGGGCTCTATACTGTCCCCCATGCTGTTTAATATCTACATGAAGCCGCTGGGTGAGATCATCCGGAGTTTCGGGGTGCGGTGTCATCTGTACGCAGATGATGTCCAACTCTGTCACTCCTTCCCACCTGCTACTAAGGAGGCTGTCGAGGTCCTGAACCGGTGCCTGGCCGCTGTAACGGTCTGGATGAGGGCGAAAAATTGAAATTGAATCCAGACAAGACAGAGGTACTCCTGGTCAGTCGCAAGGCCGAACAGGGTATAGGGTTACAGCCTGTGCTGGATGGGGTCGCACTCCCCTTGAAGGCGCAGGTTCGCAGCTTGGGTGTGATCCTGGATTCATCGTTGAGCCTGGATCCCCAGGTTCAGCGGTGACCAGGGGAGCATTTGCACAGCTCAGGCTCGTGCGCCAGCTGCGCCCGTACCTCGGGAAGTCTGACTTGGCCACGGTAGTACACGCTCTGGTCACATCCCGCCTTGACTACTGCAACGCTCTCTACGTGGGGCTGCCCTTGAAGACGGCCCGGAAGCTCCAGCTAGTCCAGCGCGCGGCAGCCATGTTACTAACAGGAGCGGGACGCAGGGAGCACACAACGCCCTTGTTGTACCAGCTCCACTGGCTGCCGATCTGCTACCGGGCCCAATTCAAGGTGCTGGTGTTGGCCTACAAAGCCCTAAACGGTTCCGGCCCAAAATACCTGTCTGACCGCATCTCGGCCTATGAGCCCACGAGGACTTTGAGATCGTCCGGGGAGGCCCTTCTCTCGATCCCGCCTGCCTCACAGGCACGCCTGGCGGGGAGGGATAGGGCCTTCTCGGTGGTGGCCCCGGCTGTGGAACACCCTTCCTCTTTATGTAGATGGTTGTTTATGCCATCTTTATGTATGTGGTTGTTTAAGAAGGCGTTTGAGTAAGTGCTGCAAAAATTGGCAATGACGATTGGAACGGAACATGGATAACGAGATTTGGATTGTGATTCAATGATGAGACGTCGCGAATGATTTAGTGTAATTGTATTATTGATAGTGATGTTGTTATTGTTGTTTGTGATATTGCTTTTATTGTAAATTGTTTTTTATATGTTGTACACCGCCGTGAGTCGCCCTAGGGCTGAGAACGGCGGTCTACAAGTGCAGTAATAAATAAATAAATAAATATGTTATGTATGCGAACACAGTGGTATTCCTAGGGTTGTTATCGTCAATGCACCAAATCATGGTCACATCCATGGACCCTTTCCCATACCAGACCATATATAACCCTTAGTAATTCTTTTCATACTACTTACTCATAAATTGTAATTCCCATATATCACTCAATGTAATGACAAAACAGTTACCATAAAAACAACAGCTCATGCTTATAGCATGTGCAAGGAAAACATGATTTGAAGCATCATTGGAACTGGGCTGGGCTGTAGCACAGCTGGTTAATCAATCACTAGCAGCAATAAATCACTGACGACCAGAAGGTTGCAAGTTCAAACCCGAGTTGGGTTTGAGCTCCTAACTATTAATAGCCCAGCTTACCGTTCACCTAAGTAGTTCAAAAACAGCTGAGCTGTGAGTAATTAAGGACCGCTTAAAGTGGGGAGGTTAATTTATGACACCATAAAAATGCCGGGAGATCAAAGAGCAAGGAGAAAATGCTATGATCAAAGGCTCAGCATCATAGTGGATGAAGTGACAGCTCCCCCTGTGGCCGGAATCGAGCAACCTCCAGGATCCAAAGTTGGAAAAAATGCTGTTTTAACAGTATAGTTATATTGAAACAACACCTATAATATTTTGTCGTTACCTAGCTATGGGAATATTTTTACATAATAATAATTATACATTTTTGCTGAAACATTGCACAAAAATGCTGTGGATGATAATTTTGATGCAATCTGATGGTGTCACCTATTGTGGTCTGCTCTTCTTTTATTTGCCCACTAGAATCATAGAATCATAGAATCAAAGAGTTGGAAGAGACCTCATGGGCCATCCAGTCCAACCCCCTGCCAAGAGGCAGGAATATTGCATTCAAATCACCCCTGACAGATGGCCATCCAGCCCCTGTTTAAAAACTTCCAAAGGAGGAGCCTCCACCACACTCCGGGGCAGAGAGTTCCACTGCTGAACAGCTCTCACAGTCAGGAAGTTCTTCCTCATGTTCAGATGGAATCTCCTCTCTTGTAGTTTGAAGCCATTGTTCAGCGTCCTAGTCTCCAAGGAAGCAGAAAACAAGCAGTGGTTCCCAACCTTTGCTCCTCCTGGTGTTTTGGACTTCAGCTCCCACAATTCCTAATAGCTGGTAAACTGGCTGGGTTTTCTAAGAGTTGAAGTCCAAAACAACCGGAGGACCAAAGGTTGGGAACTACTGTTCTAGATTAAGAGGCACACATGCCTGCCATAACACATTACAACTAATTTATTTATTTGATTTGCATGCCAACTTTCCCTCAACATGAGACTTAAGGTGTCTCACAGTAGATGTTTTAATGCTGCACCTTCTTAGAAGTGAAAAATTGCAGTGTATTGACATCATTCGCCTGAATTAGGATTCCTGCCACAGATGCAAGTGAAACGTCAGGAGAGAATGCTTCTAGAACATGGTCATACAACCTGAAAAACCTACAACAACCCGATAGAAGCCCTCTTTAATTCTTACTGAGAACTACAGAGGAAACAAAGGGGAACTCTCAATGCTTTGTTGAATCTGGTTTTGCATCGAAGTTTCTTTATCACAATCTAAAGAAATTCAATCTTAATTTCAATTAGTGCAGAGAAAAAAGTACTGTACCTCTTCCAGTTACTAGATCTGATGTGTTATGAATCCTTAGAGGTCCATTATTTAAAACAACCAACTTTCAATAGTGTTAGCAGCAGCAGGTACTGGAAATCATAAGCAATCTGACAATGTAGGAAAAAGGGAGAAATGCTAACAGCATTCATTGTGTTTTTGAACGAGTTGAATGATATAGTTTGTTGAAATAATGAAATCTTGCTGGGATAATCTGATTACTGTTATGCTTTTATCTTACCTTTATCTCATACTATAGCTACAAATCCTCTTCTCAATATCTTAGATGCAATGGTGTGAAAAGGTTCAAGGTGTGTACTGTTACATATAATCTCTGGATCACAGGAAACAGTTGTTTTACTCAACTGAATAGCTATAAAATCTCTTTAGAAATACACTTAAAGATTAACTGAAATGCAATATGAATGTTAGTTTACATGAAATAAAGACAATGCTTAACAAAATTCCATTTCTTGTTAAGGAATTAGTTGTTACAGAACTGTAGGATAGCAGAGATCCGTAGAATATATAGCATAGTCTTGTTTATTCAATTTGGACTGTTTTCATAACCTTCCAAATAGAAGTACTAAACATTTTTTCTCATGCTCAATACAGTCATCGTCCCAATTCTTAGAGAATTTATAAAAATATTTTTTAATCCAATAATCCTGATAAAGGTAAAAATAAGTGTTTTATAGCAAATGACGAGCAGACTCACTGGCTAGGATTAGGGCTGTTAGGCTGGAATCCGGATGTGCCTGTTTCTTTAAATGTGCCACTGAAGGGAGAGAAAAGACAGCCACCGCTTATTCTGTCCCTCCCCTCGCCCCCTTGTGCCTTTGCTGTGCCCCTCCTCATCCCCATTGGCTCAAAGGGATCCTAACTACACCACAGGGCAGGTTAGTGAAATGACAAGAGTAAGAATCTGTGGCCAATTTAAAAGGTGCACAGGTAATCTGGAGGATTCCGCCTAACAGCTCTAGGAGAAATTAAGTTCATTTTTAATTTCATACATTCGTTACTGAATCACACATCTCCGCTTCCTGCCGTGTGTTTTGCTGCCCACTTGAAACTGGCTGGGTTTTGTTTTTAAGGTGCAGAAGCATCTTTCAAATCTACATGGCTAACTTCAGAAACAAATTCCATACACTAAGTTTGACATGCTTTACATTTTACATTGTTAAACCACCAAGAGTAATCTTAAAAACGACAGGACTAAGTGAATGCATAACTCTCAAGGAGACAGAAGTGTTTTCAAGTCTTCCACCAGGGCAATTTTCATGTGTCACAAAACTGCAATGTGTTGAACATTATAGAAGAGCAAACCGTGAGTAAGATAGGGATGGTGCGGCGAGGGCAGGTTTAGATCCATGCTGATGCAAAACTGGCTCCTCCACTGTATTTCCCCATGACTATAGCCCCATCAGGTTCATCTGAGATCAATGCTGTGAGTAGTTTACCCTAAGAAAATAATGGGGTGATGTTGATGATGTGTTCTTTCTTAAATTACTAGATTTTCCAAATTAAACCAAAAACAACACATTTGAAAGAAGTTGCTGCACCTGCAAAGACACTCTTTAAGCTTACTATGAAATACAAAAAGTGCACTCTTCTATATCTACATATAAAACATATTAGAAATAAAACTTGTGTAAAATGTTTGCTGTGCAAACTATAAAAAGTCAGTCAGTCCATAGGATCTCCTAAACATTTAGGCCTGGTTCTCTGGTTTCCTACTGCAGAGAATCACTGTTATCCAAGACCAGCCCACTGATGTTAGTAGTCGAGAGGTCTGTTCCGTCATCTTCAGTGCTGTCCAAAGATTCATCCTCGCTTTGTCCTGCCATCATGACTTGCTGGACAGCCAAAGTCGTACCATCAGAGGAAAGGGACTGAAGACTGTCTACATTCATATTGACAGGAGCAGTAATGGTTACAACAGCTCCTGGAAATGAAGAAAAACACAAGCCCAACTGTAATTATTTGACTGAAATAAACACCTGCTCCTACTTCAAATCAAGGAACTTACAAATTAACTAAATAAATATTTTAGGCTGTAAAACCAGGAATTTAAAAACTCGAAGTGAATTAAGTTGTACCTATCTACACCCTGAGAGTTCTGAGAGTGCCTTGGACTGCGAGAAGATCCAACCAGTCCATCCTCCAGGAAATAAAGCCCGGCTGCTCACTGGAGGGAAGGATACTAGAGACAAAGTTGAAGTACTTTGGCCACATCATGAGGAGACAGCAAAGCCTAGAGAAGACAATTATGCTGGGGAAAGTGGAAGGCAAAAGGAAGAGGGGCCGCCCAAGGGCAAGATGGATGGATGGCATCCTAGAAGAGACTGGACTGACCTTGAAGGAGCTGGGGGTGGTGACGGCCGACAGGGAGCTCTGGCATGGGCTGGTCCATGAGGTCACGAAGAGTCGGAGACGACTGAACGAATGAACAACAAATCTACACCCTGTTCCCGCTACATCTCCCCCTCCCCCTCCTATTTTGTTTTAACAAAATATGTTGCAAAGTTTGAGATACTATCATCTTAATGCAGACAGATCTCTACATGTAAAAATGGGCTGCTAGTGAAATGCACACTCAAAACTGTTTCTCTGTATCCTTAAAATAGGAGTAACTCCCATTCAATAATGTAGAATTAATTTCTGAATAAACATGCATTTGATCTGTCAGCAACATTATACCAAGTGTAGGTACATTTAGCCTTAAGTCAGTGGTTCTTAATGTGTGCGTCCCCAGGTGTTTTGGCCTTCAGCTCCCAGAAATCCTAACAGCTGATAAACTGGGTGGGATTTCTGGGAGTTGTAGACCAAAACACTTGGGGACCCACACATTGAGAACCACTGCTAAGTGAACCCTAACAGAGAAATGCTTCTATGTGCAGTCTGATATATATCTCTCTGTGTGTGTGTATGAAAATTTGACACATACAAATCTTCCTTTAGTACTGGGAATAATCCATAAGAAACTGTTTCTACGCTGTTAATTTCACAAGTGGGAGAAGTATAGACACTGTGCCAAATAAAGTACCTTTCTTAAAACATTCAGCAAGTTGGGGAGGGAACTACTCACCATCTGCCATAGTAAGTTCGTTTGGCTGATGCTGAGCTACTCCTGATGCAATGGAGTCCGGCCAGAACCGCTGAACTGGTCGGTTTTGAGCTGTTTTCTTCTTTGTTTTTGGAGTTTCAGAACAGCTGGAATCCAACATAGGCTGTAGAATTCGTCTTCTAGCATTGATAAACCTGAATACAACCAAAATTAAATCTTATAAATACTTTCATATAGATTAGATTGTTCCTACACTGGGATCTGAGCAGGTGAAGGAACAACAAAAACAGTTTAATCTCAGGAGGAATTCTTGAGGCAAGGAAATTATTTGCTCCCATCTACACTGACCATTTAATAGACATGCAAAAATTTGTTTTCTTCTGTTTCCTTCGGTACCTTTGGGAGCCCATAATGGTAAGGGCCCTCCTGGTACAAAAACCCGCGGGAGCTGATCTTGAGTCCTCCTCTGCTTTTTGACATCACAATTTAATCTTTTTAGTAATCCCAGAAATCAAAAAGAAAACCCTCATTCCCTGAAAACTACTACCAGTTACCTCTCCTCTAAAGTAGAGAGTAGAAACAGCTGTAAGGAAGCATTAAACCTAAAGCAGAAAGGAGATTGAAGCTTTTTTTTTTTTTAAAGACATGCCAGGGAGGATAGCTCCCGGAGGTCACTGTTCTTCCTTACTTGGAAGTGGGGAAGTCTCCTTAAAGTGCCTTGGAAAGACTGTGTAGTGTGGTGCAGGCTCAGTAGAGAAAGGGCAGACACCAGCCTGCAACGCCTCTCCTCTAAAGTAGAAACAGCTTTAAGAAGCCTCTTTAAAGCCTGCGCGCCTGCCTGTAGCACCTCTCCTCTACAGTAGAAACAGCTTTAAGAAGCTTCCTTTAAATGCCTTAAAAAGAGTGTGTGGTGCAGGCCAGGGAGAGAAAGCGCATACATCTGTCTGCAGCGCCTCTTCTCTAGAGTAGAAAAAGCTTAAATGCCTAAAATGACAGGAAGGGGAGCCTGGGAACCCCCCCCCCCTTTCCATAATGGGCCGGATAGAAAATGAACCTTTCAGCACCCTATAGCAAATACACATATCTGCCCTCCTGAATTTGGGAGGCTCCTGAAAAACGGATCGGGGCACCACAGAAATCCAGAACACCAAAACGGATTGTGGTTTACTGAGAATGCCCAAACCTACCATTTAATGCAGTTCAATGCCAGCTTCAAACTGCAGCAGCCAGACAAAAAATTCCCACACAAACATGCAAAAAAGGCCCTTGATGTGCATCAGTAGGCTGTAGTTGGTGCAATCACCATCAGGGGTTCAAAGTGATTCCAAACATTTTCTATGTACTCAACAGCACAGTGGTTTCACTTTCTTTAATACAGCGTTAAATAATCAGTATAGATGAAGTTTTGACTCCTTAAAACTATTTTCCAATGGTTATTCAAGAATTTCTTCCCTCTGGTCCTTCTATCTTCTGCAGTTACAGATATCTTCCATGCTAAAACAGACTGTAAATTATTGCTTTTATGTTCTCATAAGTCTAATCTTGTGTCATGCCTATGTATTCAAATTTTTCTTCTTTTTAGTTTCATATCCATGCTACTAATGAACAAAAAACACCATAAGGAAGCAATCCTATACTCATGTACTCCAAAGCGTGAACTCTTGAATTCAAATTTACTTCTGAATAAGCATGTAGTGGGTTGTGTTGTTCATGAATTAAAATCTGGAAGTTAGAATGTCAGCTTGATTACACTGCATTTATTGTTGTCTTTTACTGTCATTAAATAAATATCTCTGCATTTCCCAAACATACACACTTAATTTTCCTTAATGAATTTTCAGAAATACTTGCAAAGCACTAAAAAATTTGAACCAACTTATCTCCCTGCAAGACATCACTGCAAAGGTATCTACAAGATAGAATCTACACACTTCATAGTCATAGAATCATAGAGTTGGAAGAGACCACAAGGGCTATCTAGTCCAACCCCCTGCATACTACACATGATCAGCTCTTCATCATAATGACCTATTTCTCACAATTGAAAGGGGAAGAAAATTATTTACAGCTTTGATAAAGAGGATTTCTTCTTAGTACTCATAAGGGAATTATCAAAACAAACAGTGGATCCATTTTCCTGCCAGCATTGACAGGATTGCTTCCAGTATTACCCAATATTCATTTGGTTACCATCATGGCCAAAAAAGGTATAGTGGGGCAAAGTATGGTCCACAGTCACATGCAGTCCCTTCCACCACCAAAGATGCCCTCTACATGTCTCCTGCCCACTCCCAAAACAACATCCCTGAAAACCTTTGGATGCAAATGCCTAGTTTTCCCTCTAGGGACCAGGGGATTCTGCTCCATTTTTGCTCTTGGCCATTTTAGAATTCTGTTTCAATTTTGAAAAAAACATCTCACTGAGTCTTAAAAAGGACTGAAACTGCTTTATGGCACACCTGCAATGTCTGAATGTCAATGAAGTATTATATAACCCTTTCAAATTAATGAGCATATAATGCCACCCTTTAAAGGATTGCACTGGCTCCCAATACATTTCTGGCCCGAATTCAAGGTGCTTGAGATGGCTACAGCTTTGCACTTAACCCATTCCCAGTTCGATTATTTATTGTGTGGCCATGTTTATAGTAGCTTACCACCACAAGTTGATAAGCACTGTTTTCAACTGAGTGCTAGTTGATGTTTTACATGTCCATATATTGTATTTAATTATATTCTAAATTATTTTTATTTTATGTTCTGTTTGCAGGCACCTTGTGCCGTGTATAAGCCACCCCAAGTCCTTTCAGGGAGATGGTGGCGGGATAAAAGAATAAAGTTGTTGTTGTTGTTGTTGTTATGCAAAGTCCTAGCCTAAGCAGCTTGTCACTTGAGGGAGTGCTACTCCTTATATATCCCTGCCTGAGGATTAAGATACTCCTCTGTGTCCCACCAGTAAGGTCAATACACTAAGTCAGCACATTGGGGAGGGGGCTTCTTAGCTGTGGCACCCCAATTGTGGGACGCTCTTCCTTTGGAGATATGACTGGCCCAAGAGTCATCAAAGCTTGACTGTTCACCAAGGCTTTGAGTTTTATTAACTTGAACCCAAATACTGTTGTATATAATTTTAAATCTTTTTAAAAGTCATACTGTTTAACATACTGTTTACACTGTTTTTAACCTGTTTTAAATGCTTTTGTAAGCTGCCCTGGGACACTTGATATAGGTGATATATAAACATTTTAGTAAACAAATAAAATGTATATTACCAGTTGTTAACCTGGAGTAGTGTAAGATTTGTTTGTGCTGCTATCTGTTTTTTCTCATCTTCCGTGGGATATGGATGCTAGAGTGAGGAAACAAAACCAGAACATGCTGCTTTTACCTTCTCAATTTTTAAACACATTATGCCAGTAGATATAACACAAACATCTATAGATACAGCACAAAATTACATTATAGCAGATACAGTACATTACAGTAAATAGTTTCTGATCAGATCAATTGATTTATCCTGTAATCAATCTCACATGTTTGGACACCTCCAAATATATGTGCTTTAAAACTTTACTTAGGTATACAAAACATAAAATCATAATGTTATGACAAAAATTATAGCTTTAATTGGATAATTTACTTATTAATCTAATGATGAAGCAAGAAAATTATGGCATGTCCATATTTGTACAATTAATATTCTCCCTATGGTTACTTATTTTAAAAAATGCCCTGTAATAGACAGATTTTTTTGTCGTGTCAGAAGTGATCTGAGAACATACTGCAAGTCACTTCTGGTGTGAGAGAATTTGCCGTCTACAGGGACATTGCCCAGGGGATGCCCGGATGTGTTACCATTCTGCTGGGAGGCTTTTCTCATGTCCCCACAAGCTAGAGCTGACAGACCAATCAGAGGGGACTTCATATTTTAAGTTTCTTATTAGTTCCCAAACACCTTTTATGTACATATAAAAATGGAAAAAAATACAAATGTGCAAGAGTTCCATTGCTTTCTTTGAACCCTGCCCCTTTAAAAATATGTACTTGATTTTTGATGCTGTATTACTTTTCTTTCCTTATTAACCCAGAAAGGAAAAGTATTCTGTTTGACCTCGTTGTTTATTCTTTCAGTCGCTTCCGACTCTTCATGACCTCATGGTCCAGCCCACGCCAGAGCTCCCAGTTGGCTGTGGAACCCCCAGCTACTTCAAAGTCAAATCAGTCACCCAACCATCCATCTTGCCCTTGGTCTGCCCCTCTTCCTTTTTTCCTGTTTTTCTGTTTGCCCTCATTATCATCTTATTTATTTAGAGGGTAAATTACTTCTTTTTCATATGAAGGATGCATTCTGTGTTGCTTTCCAGGTATTGGGTAGATTTCCTTGAGTTAGCATGCAATCTAACTATTTCTATAGATACTTCCAGCCTAATTCTATTAAATTCTATTTTACTGTCAAATCCACTTCCCTATATTCTGATTAAAATCATGAAATGAATCAAGGTATTTTTCCTGGGTTAACTCTCAAAGACAAGAGTCGACAACTGTGGAAGGCTAGCGAACATATTCCCGCCCCGCCCCCCGCCCGAAGACCTGTTTTGTCCCCTGACACTTCTAGGACTCCGGGGGGCAGGTGGTGGAAGTCTCCAAATGTGGTGGTAATGCTGTCACATTTCTTTGAGTGTATCTGGAACAGATCTCTACACCCCCACACAAAAATATGTATGGAAGTACCCCCCCCCCCCCCAAAAGCACACCTGCTATAAAGGAGATGCCTAATTGAAGCTATTATTACAATTGTTTTAACACGAAAAATAATCTCAGTGGTTTCTACATACTCATTGCTCAGTTGCTCCATTGTGCTATAGAAACGTCCCTGGGTTCTGGAAGGCTCCATTGGCTGAGCATAACCTCTAGCTCAGTGGTTCTCAACCTGTGGGTCCCCAGGTGTTTTGGTTACAACTCCCAGAAATCGCAGCCAGTTTACCAGCTGTTAGAATACATGGGAGCCAAAACATCAGTGGACCCATAGGTTGAGAACCACTGCTCCAGCTGCATTCTAGCTGAATACAGTTGCTTGCAACAGAGTGTATATGTGCCATCCAAGGGCCTGTCTAGCTATGTGTGGCCACGAGGGGGCGAATCAGGCACAGTAACCTATGAACACAATGGCCATTAAATACTTGCCATCTGTATAGGTGGAGGGTGAAATGATGGATCTTCAAGACGCTCAACATATAAACAGTTGGTATATATTTTTATTATTTTTATTATATTTTAAAATAAATAAAACAAAATCACATAGGAAACAAATAAAAAGAAGACAAATAATAATAATAATAATAATAATAATAATAATAATAATAATACACCTTGCCAAAAAAGAACGAGAAAGGGAGGGAAAGAGAAAGAAAAAAGAAAAACGAGAAGAAGAAAAAGAAAAGAGAGAAATAACAAAAAAGAGAAAAATTCTCCTGTACTTCTGCTCTTCTTTGCTTGTTATCTTCTTCTATTCTGAAGTCAATATGTAAAAGAAAAAAAAATCCAGTTTCTACTTTCTCCATTCGTAATTGTTTCCTCAAATGTGTGATCAATTATTCTTTTCTTTTCTTTCTTAAAAAAATTATTATAGTTTTCTTCTCCTTTTTCAGATATGTTTTGAACAGCTGCAAGTCTCTTTTTCTTTGGTAATCCCTGATGTCTTCATTATAACCATTACTTTCATTTGCCAATGTTGTTTTGTGGGAATATCTTCCAATCGCCAATTCTTTGTATAAACTATTATTCCAGCCGTAATTAAATAATTTTAAAGCATTTCTTTATTTGGGTCCAGTTTCAGGTCTATAATGCCTAATAGTAAATATTCGGGTTTCTTTTGTAATTCTATATCCAGTATTTTCTGAATTTCCTCATGCATTATGTTCCAATATTTTCTTGCCTTCTCACACAACCACCACATGTGGTAGAAGGTTCCTTCTATCTTCTTACATTTCCAGCATGTGTTCTGCAAATTTTTATACATTTTACCTAATTTGTATGGAGTAATATACCATCTATATATCATTTTAGCAGGTTTTCTTTCAAATCATAAGCATATATTTGTTTCAGTCATATCTTTCATAAGTACTCTCATTCCTCCATTCTGATAGGTCGTGCAATATTTTTTGCCTAATTTATCATGCATTCCTTCACTGTTTCTTCTTCCGTCGACCATTCTAATAATTTTTTGTAAATTTTTGTTACTATTTTTTTTTCTGAATTCATTATTTTATTACGATTGGCGAACTTACAAAGACATTTTGAATAATAATAATAATAATAATAATAATAATAATAATAATAATATAATAGAAATGAGAACCCAAGAAGAAATTAAATTAAAATACAAGAATACCTCATGGTTCCAATACCTACAAATAAAGGAATATTATAACAAAGACAAAATACTAGATTTTGCAAAAGAAAACACGTTCTGGGACAAAAACAATTTTTATTAATTATGCTCATACATAAATCTGAAGTAACCCAAAATAGTCAACAAGGGTGAGCACTGATATATATTCGCCCTGATTAAAATCATGAGGGATCTGAAATATGCTCAATTTATAATAGGCATATTTTTATAAAGATTGAGCATCCTTTATTCAGAAATTTGAAATAATCTTAAATCCAAAATAGCGGATGAGGATGTAAACAGTGTTACACCTTTGCTTTCTGATGGTTCAAGGCCCACACATTTTTGATGCATAAAATTATTTAAAATATTGTACCTTCATGTTATGTGCATAAAATATACATATATTAATCATGTGTTTAAACCTGGGTCCAATCCCCAAGACATTTCTTTATGTATATGAATAAAAATACAGGTATCCCAAAATACAAAAAACCTCATAATCCCAAACACTTCTGATCACAACCATTTTGAATAAGGGATATTCAGCCTATATTAGTGCTTATCACAAGTGAGAAAACTATTTAACGTAGTTTTTACCCTACTTTTAGCTGCATACAGCATATCATGCACACAAACAAATGACATCAGTGTGTCCTACATTTTAATAGCAAATTCCAATAGGAATTGGTCTGGGAAAAGGAGGGGGAGCATAAATCACCAATATAATATACCATTTTGCTCAATTCAAGAAAACATAAAGAAGAAAACACCCCGATGTAAACTGTGAATTCTCAGTCATTTTTCAACCAATCAAGAAAATGCAGAGTACTTCTTTGAGCTGACTGCTAAGTGATGCCTGTTTATTTTTATAAACAGAAGTTTTATAAACAAGTTGTCAAAGAAAAAAGTCATGTCTTCTTCAAACCATGTCTAATTGAGAAAATATATATCCTCCCAGCTGCCAGAATTCCTATTAGAGAGTGTGATCCTTAGTGATGCCAGCATGTGATAAAACTAGATTAATTATAATGTATCATATGAGAGGGATAAAATACCTTGAGGTATAACATAAACTTCTTATGTATTTTAAGGCTATAGGACAAATCTCACATGAAATGAAACTAATCATAGTAACATTAATGAATGATAATTAATACTTTGATATACACTAAGCAGCATTATGTTAGTTAAAAAAAGAAAGAAACAAAGATGGAAATGGACCCAAATGTGACATCTTTGATAAATCCAACATGCCGCAGCTTGAAAACGTCTAACGATTGCACATAAATGCAGTTACTTTTTTCCATTGGAAAAGGGATAGTTTATGTTCAGTGGCCAATGGTGGACTTCCGTAGATAAAACAGAAGAATCTAGAAAAGCCAGAGCGCGGATCATTCCCTTTCCTACCTCAGTCCTCCATGAAACCCTAATGTTCTGGATGGTTGGAGAAACCTTTAGAATTAATTGTCATCAGAATTAGGTTTCAAGTAATGACCAAAACATTTTATTTCCTTTTGTAGTAAATAAAATAAATCAACAATATGTTCAGGACATAAACTGCGAGCCTTACCCCTATGTGCTGGAAAAGCCAAGACCTCATCACATTTGTGGCATGCTTCGGAAGAACTCCTCTTTTATTTTTTGATGACCCATCATCTTGATGCAAGATGCTTAAATCTTGATTTAATTGTAACTGGAGCTGCACACAGATTTGACAAATAGCAAAGTTACTAAGACTCCAAAATCATAGGTTTCTTAAAAATCCATAAATAGTTTTATGTGAAAAGATGCATTTGACTGCAGGGAGGGAACATGTTTTGTATTGCAAGCAGCAATACTGCTACATTGGGGGTCTTACAGAATGACCCACCATACTTCTGGTGCTGAACTCACAGGATCTCTCTAGGAATTTTTAAGGTCCTCCAGGGCATCTTTATGGTAAATTCCAGTGGAAATTGTTCATTTAAATGGGATTCAGTGGTTATTATGGTTTTCTGTTCCATGCTAATTTCAGGAATATATCCCTTGTGGATACAGGGGTCATACTGTATTCAGAGAAGGCCTACACATTTACCATTTTAGACTGGGAAATGGCATGTCTAAATGTGAACCCAAAAAGCAATGAAATCTTCTTGTCCTCATTAGCATGCCAGATCTGTTAGCCTTCCCATTAACAGCTTTATTTGAGCACAGGGGATCATTCAAGCATACCAGTCATAAACCACTAGCTGAAATGGCTATGTCAATTTGGCAGAGACATGTTGTTGCCTCCTCCTCCTCTACAACCCTGAAACTGTGTTCAGGACAGCAAGGAGATAAATCCTCACCCTGCTGCAATCTCTGTTGGTGATGGTCATTCTGAGCTGCAGAAAGTGGAAACCTTCCCCCCACATTGCATTGTTGTCCCAAAGCTCAAAACTTTGGTTTTCACCTGCAGGAATGAACAACAGCCCTTCACTTCTATGGGAAAAAGTAAAAGAAGGTACTCAGGGACAATGTTAGCAGAGGGCTAAGACAACCCCAGGATTTGTAACAATAAGCACTCTTTCCCTTCCTAACTGCTTCAGGAAGCACATCTCATTTACTTTTCTTCTATGGTGTATAAAGTGAGCCAGGAAGAATCATAGCACTAATCTACCTGATGTAAGGCAGACTTTGCTTCCATCAAAACAGTAACCTCCAACGTAGTATTTTATATTTCTCTTTAAGAACATATGGGCACCATTTGCTTCTCTGAGCCAGTCAATGAAGAGGCATCAACTTTCCCCCATCCTTACAACTTAAGAACATGTTCGGAAATATAACCTGGTTACACTACCTTCAAATTAAAGAGCACTTCAAACAAGATCAAAAAATTGGATTTGACTGGGAAGAAAACACATGGGATAAAGTTTTAAAAATTGAGAAAAAGGTAGTCACAATTCTTTACAACAAATTGATCCAATGGCAAACGGAAAAAGAGCAGGTTAAAAATTGTATGATTAAATGGGCCAAAAATCTAAGACGGCCCATTCAATTTAGAGAATGGGAACAAATGTGGAATAAAAAGTTGAAATATACTTATGCCATGGATTTGAAGGAAAATTGGTACAAAATGTTTTATAGATGGTATCTGACTCCGAATAAACTAAGCCATATGTACCCAAATGTCTCAGATAAGTGTTGGAAATGTGGAGAACAAACGGGCACATTCTTCCACATGTGGTGGACGTGCAAAGAAACAACTAAGTTCTGGGCATCTATACATGAAGAAATACAAAAGATACTGAAGAGAAGGTTTAGAAAGAAACCTGAATATTATTTATTAGGATTTACGGACTCTGACCTTAAAGTAGAGGAAAATGAAGATAAATTATTCACGTACTTTACCACTGCGGCAAGAATTATTTTTGCCAAATTTTGGAAAAATGAACAGATACCTACTGTTGAAGAATGGTTGGAGAAAGTCAAAGAAATTAGAGACATGGACGAATTGACATTTTTAATGAGAAGAAATACCGGGAAACCGCTAAAGAGAACAGACTGGACTTCTTTTTATGATTATGAAAAGAAATTTAGAAAAATATTAGAGGATAAGAATAGACAAGAGTAGAAGAAGTTGATGGAAAAGATCCTGATGTTGGAGTGGAAGTCATTTTAGAATAGTTTAGGTTAGTTTAGTCTTTTTTTTTTGTCGTTTTTTTTGTCCTTTTTTTCTTTTTTCCTACTTTTCTATTTTCTTCTTATTGTTCCCCCTCTTTCGTTGTCCTGTTTTATAAAATATTTAATAAAAATCATTTTTTTAAAAAAACTTTCCCCCATCCTTATCCATTTCAGTTATCTGGGGCAAAATTTATGGTTTGCATCTCAGTCATTTCTCAGATTGTAGCCACTTTATTTTGCTTGTAGAGACAAGGTTCTTGTTCTTGTCATTTGAGGGAGATGAAATATTAGGAATTGATACATAGGTCAAAGGTATAGCTTGCATCCACTGCTTGCTGTTTCCTTCTCTGATCTTCAACCACCTATTCTACTACAGTCTCAAATGCCCTGAGAACTCCCTCCTGCAGATTTAGCAATTCTCTAGAATGGGTTGCAGATCTGTAGACTTTTAGGTAGGATTATTTCCTAATCCTGCTTGGAGATTCCTGGTATTGGTCTCAATTTTAAATGCCACCAAGGCCGAACTCTTATGTCAAAGGGACTTTGTTCACTTGTGCTTTTCAACATCCAAACTGTGCTTTATAAGTAAAATTCATTTGTTATGCAGCCCTGAATGTCCATGCATCATTTTTACATCTAGCTACTGACATACAGGTTTCCTCTACCATATCAAACAATTCTGTAAGTTATTTTGAACAAACCTGTGAATTCTGGATCCTGATGGTTCCAGGTGACAATGCTACTTGACCTTGAGGTGTGACCACAGTAACTGGCTGATATACTGCCCCACCTTAAAGAATAAACAGTTTTAACATTGCAGAGTAAGCAAGCAATCCCAAGGGGAAAATTATGATACCACTGAACAAACAAGATGGCAAAAACTAAAACAATTTCAATGTAAAATAGTACTAGAATATTTTGAATGTTTTTTACTTCACTGGGCTTTTACAGTAATTATGAAAAATAAATTAGTGTAAAAGCCTACTATAATATTAATCTACAATATAGTAATTTTACTATGTTGTAGATTAATATTAAACAAATCAAATATAATGCCTTGTTAGTTTCTTAGAAATTTTACATAATAGTAGTTGATTTGCATTTATTTTTACTCTACCACATAATCCTATATATTAAATTATAAAGACATTGAACAACATGCTGGCTATACAGTTTGGCTTCTGGAAATTGTCTTAACAAATGGGTTTATTTTGTGTCAAAAGAGTTTTATCTATCTAGTTTCCAGAATAATGATGAAGACATTTAAATTATTAGCATACATTATCTAAATACATACATACATTAGCTGACTCAGAAAGCCATTACCATGTCTTGACAATTAATTGCATAACATCTGGAAATTAAGTTAAACAATAATTTATATTTTAAATAATTTCAAAGAACAACCTATCCATAAACAGTCATTCTAGCTACCAATATCTGTGAGAACTGAAAGACAGCAAGGTCCATATTATTGGTTCAACTTCAACAAACCCTATTTAGCTCATTTGCTCTTCCATAATTGTGTACTCCAGTGGCCATTCCGCTTGGCTACTGTAACAATTAAATAAAAATTGTATCTAGTTTACTTATTTTTTCCTATCACAGGTCCCTTATTAGCCATGTCTAGATGCGCATACACTACTGTTTACAATTTAAAATTGCCCTGCGTACATTGGCAGAACAATGTACTATGGCAGAAAGTTGTACCATTTCAATCAAACCAATCACCTCTAGAATTCACATCCTCACAACTTTTTAACTGTCACAAGATAAAATATTAAAACAACATTATAACAACAGAAAAACAAACATCATAAGCAGCAAGGTATTTTTTAAAGAAGTGCAATGCTTTTTTTTTTAATTTGGTGCATCCTACCTGCAATAGTTGCCATAGTAACATTTCCCTGCTGCAATGCTGATGCAGGTACCATAACCCCCTGGGGACTTAGTGTTCCTGTGATGGCACTTTGAATTGGCTACATATAGGGAAAATAAACAAACAAGAATTGTATATGTTCATATGGAAGGATATTATTTTCATTTTAATGAATATAATAAATAAAAGATATTATAATAAATAAACCACATAACAATGATGAAGATGAAGATGAGGAAGCCATCACTACAACCAAGATGATTCAAGGCAGTGATGGAGTTCACGTAGGAATGAAATTCAATGAAAGAAGTAAATAGCTAGAAATGTTGGTTTGGCATTAAGTTGGATTTATATGTTGCTTCCCAAATGTAGTATTTCTTTCCCAGTTTGAACTATTCTAAAGAAGTATGGGAGAGATATGTAAATTCTGGAGCATAATTAATCTAAGCAACAGTGTCTGTACTAGTTAATTCTGGGCTACTCTCATCGTATCAGAATCAAAGGGCTAATATTAATGTGAAAGATTCTCAATTAATTCAGTATTTAGAACTATTTATCCCAGAGTAATTCAGCAATATCTACAGTTTTTAAAACATAGAATAAGTGAGAAAGATCAAGACTGAAAAATTTATATATACCAGGATTTATCTGAGAATAAGTCTCATTGAATTAATGGGACTTACTTCAAAGTAGGCACTCATAGGACTGTTCTGTAAATAAGACATCAGGAAACCACAAACATATTCAGAAGCATACTGTCATTAGTGAAATCGTAGCCTAACTTTGATCCTATGGTTATTTGAATGAATCCTCAACTGTGGCTTATATTCAAACACATCTATAATTTTAAGTTTAAAGGTTATTTCATACCTCCTTTAAATCATTTAATGAATTATCGTAGCTTCGTCCAAAAACTCAGTTAAATCAAATGGTTGGATGACAGCAATGCAATTTACAATTAGCACGCTGACATGGGGCTGGCATGAAGGGTACAATGAAAAGAGTGAACAAATCCTCTACTTTAATTCTAAATATATATGGTAATTTTTAATTCTATTCATAGTCAATTTGGTTTATACTATGGAACTGGTGGTCACTTTATTTAACTGGTTTCTAAGAGAGCTCCCAGAGCATTAGGGTAGTAAACTTACCCATGTCCTCAAGTATTGAAAGCATGTGCTCTGACCTTATATTGATACTGATATCAAACAAGGAAATGGTCAACCAATTATTGTTTCCTCTGGTTATCTTTACTAGTAATGAATCTATCAGCTGGGAAACATTTTTCAAACAGAAGCAGTCCCCAAGTTACAAACATCCGACTTACGTAAGACTTATAGTTAAGAACAGAGATGAGACAACAAAAACTGCGAGAAATTTACCCCTAGGAAGAAAAATTCAATCCTGAAAGGGTTATTATAGGGGAAAGGTGTTTCCACTGAAGCTTCATTACCAATCCTAGTTTCCACAACAAGTCACATTTTTCAAAATCCAGTTCTCACAGGGAGAGAACGTGAGGTGAAATCTTCTGAACAGACAGCAAAACAAACACCACAGGGGTGCTATCCAAAGCTATCTCTCTCTCTCTCTCTCTCTCTCTCTCTATATATATATATATATACTAGCTTGGGGACCCGGCGCTGCCCGGGTTATTAGAGAAAGGAATTGTATATCATGGTTGGTCTTTATCAGTGACCCACTCTCCAGGATGGAGAGTGGGTCATGGGGGCACTGTGTGCTAAGTTTGGTCTTGATCAGTCATTGGATGAGGGCCACAGCGGTCTCAGAAAGTGAGTTAAGGTACTGCAAGTCCCATCATCCACAGTCTCCCTCAAACATCACCAGAATGTTGAGTTGGCCATGGGGGCTCTCTGTGCCAAGTTTGGTCTTTATTGGTATCTGGATGAGTGTCACTGTGGTTTCAGGAAGTGAGTGAAGGTACTGCAAGTCCCATCATCCATTGTCCATCCTCCTCCAAACAGCACCAGGATGTAGAGTCGTTCATGGGGGCTCTGTGTGCCGAGTTTGGTCTTGATTGGTCATTAGATGAGGGTTGCAGCAGTCTTGGGAAGTGAGTGCAGGTACTGAAGTCCCATCATCCATAGTCTGTTCTCCCCCAAACCTCACCAGAATGTTGAGTTGGTCATGGGGGCTCTGTGTGCCAAGTTTGGTCTTCATCAGTCATTGGATGAGGGTCTCAGTGGTTTCACTAAGTGAGTGAAGGTACTGCAAGTCCCACTGTCCATGGTGCATCATCCTCCAAACCGCACCAGGACGTAGAGTGCATCATGGAGATTCGGTGTGCCAAGTTTGGTCCTTATCGGAAATTGGATGATGGTTGCAGTGGTCTCAGGAATTGAGCAAAGGTACTGCAAGTCCCATAACCCATGCTCGATCCACAGTCAAACCACACCAGGGTTTATTGTGGTTCTGATCCATCATTGTTGGCAGTTGTAATCGTCTTAGGAAGGGAGTGCAGGTATTGCAAGTTCCATCGTCCATGGTGCATCCTCCTACAAACTGCACCAGGATGTAGAGTGCGTCATGGAGACTCAGTGTGCCAAGTTTGGTCTTTATCGGTAATTGGATGAGGGTTGCAATAGTCTCAAGAATTGAGTAAAGGTACTGCAAGTCCCATAATCCATGGTCCATCCCCAGTCAAACCACACCAGGACGTAAAGTGGGTCATGAGAGGTCTATGTGCCAAGTTTGGTCCTGATCAGTCATTGGATGAGTTTAACAGCCGTTTCAGAATGTGAGTGATGGTACTACAAGTCCCATTATCCATGATTCATCCTCCTCCAAACTGCAGTAGGATGTCGAGTGGTTCATTGGGGCTCTGTGTGCCAAGTTTGGTCTGGATTGGTAATTTTCTGACAGAGCCCCTGGCCTTTTCCTTTCCTCTCTTTGTCATCTCGGAATCTTGGAATTGAGGCTGGCCAATCAGGGACCATATGCAAATTTCCTTCTTATGTCCCCCGCTTCTGTCATGAACTCTTTTCTCCACCAGGGGCTCCTATTGAAGCTGGCCAATCAGAGACCATATGCAAATAGTACCAAGGCGGCAGCCAATCAGAACGCTGGCACATACTCCTCCCGCCACACTGCCACATGTCCGCCGCACACAAACTTTGACTTTTATTATATGTACTAGCTTGGGGACCCGGCGCTGCCCGGGTTGTTACAGAAAGGAATTGTGTATCAAGTTTGGTCTTTATCAGTTATTTATATGACTTGCAGTTGTCTCAGGAAGTTAGTGAATGTACTGTGAGTCCCATCATCTGTGGTCCATCCTCCTCCAAACTGCCCCAGGATGGAGAGTGGGTCATGGGGGTTTTGTGTGCCAAGTTTGGTCTTGATCGGTCATTAGATGAGTGTTGCAGAGGTCTTGGGAAGTGAGTGGAGGTACTTGAAGTCCATTCATCCATAGTCTGTAGGCCTGGGCGGTTTCGTTCGTTAATTTCGTAATTCGTTAAATATTCGTTATTTTTAGCAATTACGAAACGATTACAAAACACATTTTCAAACCCGGAAGGGTTTTAAAATAACGAAACGGCATCCCCCATACTTTTAACGAGCTTCCGCCCGTTTCGTAAATGGGATGGAGGATGCTGGTGCCCTGGGAGCCAATCCGGCGCTCCTAAGCACCCAAGCAGTGCACCGTGGCTGTTTCTGATTGGCCGGCAAGCCCTTTAAAAGCGGCTCCGCGCGGCCGTACAGCTCATTGTTGCAGAGGCGAGGGAGAAGAGAAGAGGTCCGGGAGGGTGGCTTGCATTGGGTTGGCTTGCAACTGGCTAAGCTTGGATTGGATTCATTCCTTGCTTATTCATTCCTTGCTTGGATTCATTCCTTCCTTTGGTTTTCGTCAATTTGTTTGTTAATTTTCCATTTTTGAATATTTTTTAAAAATACCTGTCTTTTATTCTTAAAAAAATACAAAAAATATTCTAAAAAGAAAAGACTCTTCTGTTGGTGTGTGCTCTCGTTTGCCCTGTCTCGTGGCTGTGTTTGGTCCACATCAGGGCCAGTTTTTGGTTAATTTTCCATTTTTGAATATTTTTTAAAAATACCTGTCTTTTATTCTTAAAAAAATACAAAAAATATTCTAAAAAAGAAAAGACTCTTCTGTTGGTGTGTGCTCTCATTTGCCCTGTCTCGTGGCTGCGTTTGGTCCACATCAGGGCCAGTTTTTGGTTAATTTTCCATTTTTGAATATTTTTAAAAATACCTGTCTTTTATTCTTAAAAAAATACAAAAAATATTCTAAAAAAGAAAAGACTCTTCTGTTGGTGTGTGCTCTCGTTTGCCCTGTCTCGTGGCTGTGTTTGGTCCACATCAGGGCCAGTTTTTGGTTAATTTTCCATTTTTGAATATTTTTTAAAAATACCTGTCTTTTATTCTTAAAAAAATACAAAAAATATTCTAAAAAAATAAAAGAGTCTTCGGTGGCTGTGTGTGCATTTGTCATTTGTGTAGTTCCAACCAGTGCGCTCCTTTTGCCAACACAAAGTGCTATAATACAGTGCTCGCTCATTTGTGTAGTTCCAACCAGTGCGCTCCTTTTGCCAACACAAAGTGCTACATACAGTGCTCTCTCATTTGTGTAGTTCCAACCAGTGTGCTCCTTTTGCCAACACAAAGTGCTATAATACAGTGCTCGCTCATTTGTGTAGTTCCAACCAGTGCGCTCCTTTTGCCAACACAAAGTGCTATAATACAGTGCTCGCTCCATTTGTGTAGTTCCAACCAGTGCGCTCCTTTTGCCAACACAAAGTGCTACATACACTGCTCGCTCATCATTTGTGTAGTTCCAACCAGTGCGCTCCTTTTGCCAACACAAAGTGCTATAATACAGTGCTCGCTCATTTGTGTAGTTCCAACCAGTGCGCTCCTTTTGCCAACACAAAGTGCTATAATACAGTGCTCGCTCATTTGTGTAGTTCCAACCAGTGCGCTCCTTTTGCCAACACAAAGTGCTATAATACAGTGCTCGCTCATTTGTGTAGTTCCAACCAGTGCGCTCCTTTTGCCAACACAAAGTGCTATAATACAGTGCTCGCTCATTTGTGTAGTTCCAACCAGTGCGCTCCTTTTGCCAACACAAAGTGCTACATACACTGCTCGCTCATCATTTGTGTAGTTCCAACCAGTGTGCTCCTTTTGCCAACACAAAGTGCTATAATACAGTGCTCGCTCATTTGTGTAGTTCCAACCAGTGCGCTCCTTTTGCCAACACAAAGTGCTATAATACAGTGCTCGCTCATTTGTGTAGTTCCAACCAGTGCGCTCCTTTTGCCAACACAAAGTGCTACATACACTGCTCGCTCATCATTTGTGTAGTTCCAACCAGTGCGCTCCTTTTGCCAACACAAAGTGCTATAATACAGTGCTCGCTCATTTGTGTAGTTCCAACCAGTGCGCTCCTTTTGCCAACACAAAGTGCTATAATACAGTTCTCGCTCATTTGTGTAGTTCCAACCAGTGCGCTCCTTTTGCCAACACAAAGTGCTATAAGACAGTGCTCGCTCATTTGTGTAGTTCCAACCAGTGCGCTCCTTTTGCCAACACAAAGTGCTATAATACAGTGCTCGCTCATTTGTGTAGTTCCAACCAGTGCGCTCCTTTTGCCAACACAAAGTGCTATAATACAGTGCTCGCTCATTTGTGTAGTTCCAACCAGTGCGCTCCTTTTGCTCATTATTTGTGTAGTTCCAACCAGTGTGATGAAACGCTTCCTTCCCGGCTTTTCTAGTCGCAAGGGCCAAGTGCTATCGCGAATACCGAAGAAAGGCAGGGGACTGAAGATGAACACATTGACAAGAAGGGAACATTCATCCAACGAGATGGTTATTGAAACACCCACAGATGCTTCAACCAGCTGTGAGATGGCAGAACCTTCTTCTTCATCAGTTCGAAAGACTCTACGTTCAGATCCTGATGTCCTTCCAAGTACCTCTGATACTACTTGTTATGAAGAGGAGGGCGAGGAGGCGGACGTGTCAGAGGAATGGGAGGAAGACAAGATGGAATGTGCTTCCACCACAGGAATTAGTGATCAAGAGGACTGCATGCTGATGGAGGGCGAGCTACAGAAACAACCAACGATTATACTCCCTTCCACAAACACCGACAGTCCAAACACGAGCATGAGTACATCTGAAGTGCCTAGTAGGGGTAGGCCGAGATCGCTCCTATGGGATCATTACGACGTCCATAATGAGAGGGCCACTTTGGCAGTTTGCAGGCATTGCGGTGTGAGCGTCAGCAGAGGAAAAGATATGAGGCATCTTGCTACAACAGGGCTAAGGATGCACACTAAGATACACCACCCCCAAATGTGAAGTTGGTCCTTCTTACTTAACTTGCAATACTGCTACAGAAATTAGTATGTATGCAATACTTCCCAGATAATTTTCAGAGTTTTTTCAAAGTGCAATTTCTGTTACTTTTTGTTACTTTTTCTTTATTTATTTCTTATATTTACTTTCTAAGTTTTTATAATAACATTATTTTTATATATTAATAATTTATAATTTAATTTTATATATTATTTTTATTATTATTTATAATTATATTTTATAAATATTTTATAAATTTAATTATATTTTATTTAAATATTTATATTATTATTTATTTCATTTATATAATATATATAATAATATATTATTATATTATATTATTTTATTTTATATTGTATATATTATATAATTTTATATTATTTATTGTTATTTATTATTATTATTATTATTATTATTTATATTTTATTTATTTAAATTTTATTATTATATTATTGTTTATTTCATTATATTATTAAATTGACTCAGTTTTGGATACTTTATCTTATTACTTTTTTATTTAATATCTTAATATCTTGTTCTATTTGATTATTTTATTTGATTTATTTTATGAAATGATTTTGTTTATAGAGCATTTAGCATTGCGCAATCGCGTCCGCCATTTTAACGAATCGATTCGTTATTATTTTAATAGCGAATTGATTCGTATTTAAAAACGAAGTTTCAGAAGTCGTTTTTGCGCATGCGCAATCGCGTCCGCCGTTTTAACAAATCGATTCGTTATAACCTTAACGAATCGGCCCCGCGCCAATAACGAAGCTTCGGAAGTGATTTTGCGCATGCGCGGGGGGTCCGCCATCTTAACGAATCGATTCGTAAATATTTACGAAATTTCGTAAATACCGAACTTTTTTAAGGGAAAATTTTGTAATTATTTTAAATATCGAAACAAAAAAACACCCCAATTACAAATCGATTTTAGAAACAAATTTTTGCGTTGTTACCCAGGCCTAATAGTCTGTACTCCCCCAAACCTCACCAGAATGTTGAGTTGGCCATGGGGGCTCTATGTTCCAAGTTTGGTCTTTATTGGTTTTTGAATGAGTGTTGCTATGGTTTCAGGAAGTGAGTGAACGTACTGCAAGTCCCATCATCCATCGTCCATCCTTCAAACAGCACCGGGATGTAGGGTGGGTCATGGGGGCTGTGTGTGCCAAGTTTGGTCTTGATCGGTCATTAGATGAGGGTTGCAGCAATCTTGGGAAGGGAGTGGAGGTACTTGAAGTCCCATCATCCATGGTCTGTCCTCCAAACTGCACCAGGGTGTAGAGTGGGTCATTGGGGCTCCGTGTGCCAAGTTTGGTCTTGATTAGTCATTGGCGAGGGTCTCAGTGGTCTCAGAAAGTGAGTGAGGTTACTGCAAGTCCCATCATCCATCTCCATTTTTTTTCCAAATGACACCAGGACGTAAAGTGGGTCATGAGAGGTCTATGTGCCAAGTTTGGTCTTGATCAGTCATTGCATGAGGTTTGCAGAGGTCTCAGAATGTGAGTGAAGGTACTGGAAGTCATATCATCCATTGTCCATCCTCCTCCAAAACTGCAGCAGGATGTAGAGTGGGTAATGGGGGCTCTGTGTGCCAAGTTTGGTCTTGATCGGTCATTAGATGAGGGTTGCAGCAGTCTTGGGGAGTGGAGGTACTTGAAGTCCATCATCCATGGTCTGTCCTCCTCAAAAGTGCACCAGGATGTAGAGTGGGTCATGGGGACTCTCTGTGCCAAGTTTGATCTTGATCAGTCATTGGCGAGGGTCTCAGTGGTCTCAGGAAGTGAGTGAAGTGACTGCAAGTCCCATCATCCATTGTCAAATTCATTCAAACCGCACCAGGATGTAGAGTGGGTCATGCGGGCTCTCTGTGTACATTGTGGTCCTGATCCATCATTGTTGGCAGTTGTAATCGTCTTAGGAAGGGAGTGCAGGTATTGCAAGTCCCATAGTCCATGGTGCATTCTCCTCCAAACTGCACGAGGATGTAGAGTGCGTCATGGAGACTCAGTGTGCCAAGTTTGGTCTTTATCGGTAATTGGATGAGGGTTGCAGTGGTCTCAGGAATTGAGCAAAGGTACTGCAAGTCCCATAATCCATGGTCCATCCCCGGCCAAACCACACCAGGACATAAGGTGGGTCATGAGAGGTCTATGTGCCAAGTTTGGTCCTGATCAGCCATTGGATGAGGTTAACAGCGGTCTCAGAATGTGAGTGATGGTACTGCAAGTCCCAACATCCATGGTTCATCTTCCTCCAAACTGCAGTAGGATGTAGAGTGGGTCATGGGGGCTCTGTGTGCCAAGTTTGGTCTGTATTGGTAATTTTCTGACAGAGCCCCTGGCCTTTTCCTTTCCTCTCTTTGTCATCTCGGAATCTTGGAATTGAGGCTGGCCAATCAGAGACCATATGCAAATTTCATTCTCTCATGTCTCCGTTTCTGTCATGAACCCTTTTCTCCACCAGGGGCTCCTGTAAAGCTGGCCAATCAGAGATCATATGCAAATAGCACCACAGCGGCAGCCAATCAGAATCTTGGAACTTTCAGGCTGGTCAATCAGAATGCTGGCACATACACCGCCACACTTTTGTCCTCCGCATACAAACTTTGGCTTTTATTATATGTATAGATAGAATTATATACACATACAGAGAGAGAGAGCTGCAGTTCTACTTAAAACATGTACCTTTCCGACTTACATACAATTCAATTTAAGAACAAAATTACAGAACCTATTTTGTTCATAACTTGGGGACTGCCTGTACTAGAAATACCACATACTAGGAGAGGGACCACAGTTCAATGGAAGAGCACATACTTTCCAAAATGTCAAGTTTCATTTCCAGCAACTCCCATGAAAGGATCTCAGGAAGTAGTGCCTAAGACCTTTAAATAGTCACTGTGCTTTAAATAGCCTTTGTAGACAAAACTGTATTGGGAAAGATGGACCAGCGGCTACATACCATATAATACAACTTTGTGTGTCTTTAAATTTTTGTCTCCCCTAATAAGGGGAGACAACAAGGCTTTTCATAACTGAGCAGCAGGCACATAGACCATTAATCTCCACATGGTTACATCTTTTGCGCCAGGATGAACATGAAATCCTGAGTACTGGATATAAGGTGCTTCATATCCTCAAGTGTTGTGTATGTAATGGGGAGCAACCACAGTACCCTATTTTTGCATATATATCACCCTTTGATTTGATGGGGCCATTTATCTATAATGAGATGAACAAAGCCAACCCCAAAATTAGGCTAAGGAGATAGTGCCAAAAAGGTGCAATGATAATTGTGTCAATTTTGCTCTGCTGCTCACATTTTCTGGTGACTCTTTCCATGAAGACAGCTGCTCCAGCAAATCCAAGCTATCTTTATCATGTTTAAAGTGGCTGGACTGCAGACAAAGAGTTGACAAATTATGGTCACACTTAAGAATTACATTTCCATGTTCCTGATAAATAAGAAATTTCACAAGGGAGAGCTGGTAACCTTAACAATATCACAAAGCCGTAAAAACTACCAGTTTGCCAGTCACAGATCATCTGTTTGTAAATTGCATGGTTTACAAATTTAACCAAGTTATTAACACAATTCTTTATATTGCTAAACAAATCTACTCTTACCTACCCCTTGGGGATGATAGATATAAAAGAAATAAAGATAATATAATTCAGTCAGAGTGAAAGGTACCTGGGGCTGCACAGGTGAATAAGGACTCCCGGATTCTCCACTTAGCAGAGTTTCACTGTTCATTTTAGTTTTCAGACATGCAATATAGCGACTACAGAAATCCTTACAGAGCTCATTAACCTTTTCTAACTCAAGCAGATGAATTCGTAGAACCTGAATTGCTTTTACCATCTAAAAGGAGGAAAACAGAAAAGATTCTGAAAAAACATTTTAAATAAAAAAAATCAGGACAAGTAAAAAAAGTGTTATTTTCAGAGTGTTAGGTGCTGTTACTTTTAAGACCTATTTCTGGTATTTTTCAAATGTTTTCAAATACAATGAAAAGATTCTATACATTCATTGTAGTAACTGTGAAATGAACTGTGAAATGTTATGCCATTGGTTTAGGTCTAGAGGAAGCCTTTTCTTCCCAATCACAAAGGTCACCAGCACTCCGCAGATTACATAATAGCCCTTGATTGAAAAGGAAGAGGCATCCTATAAAAGGCAAATGATCGTCTAAACTCAATAACTCAATGTCTACAATTCTATAGACCTCTATGACAATCTTAAAACATACGGCTTGATTGTTTCTTCCTTTGGCAGATGCTTCATTTTAATAACATACTTGTTTATTGATACTTGATTTTTGACTGAAGTAGGGAAAGCAGGGAAGGTGGGACCATGGGCCACAAGAACTGTCAGATTTCACTTTTGTGCCCCCCCCCCCAAACTCCATGACAATTCTCCCAAAGCTCCCCTTTTCAAAAGAAATAACAAAATTTTCAGGCACTTCAAAAAACTATTTTTGTAGATATGCACATTTCACAGGATCTTCTGCAAGCTCCTCTGAAAGATGTCATAGTTCTTATAGAAGCTTCAACAAATGAGGGATTTTCAACATTTATTCTCTTTAAAAACAAACAGTGGAATGAGGGGTGATCCCAGATAAAGCTGAACAGTGAGTATATAGTACTTTTTTACATACTGTAAAGTAAAACTTAAGATTTACTGATCACCAGAAACCCAAGGCAGAAAATAGAAAACGAGGATATTATCAATGGCTAACATAGCAATGACAAGCCATTTCCTCCAGTATCCAGAGGTGGTACTGTTCCCTTTAATACAATCTATTATGGAATGTGATCAGAACATCGTTGTGTTCTGTTCCTGCTCGTGGGACTCCTACAAACACCTGATTGGCATCATGGGAACGGAATACTGGGCTACACTTTTATCAAACACACTGCTTATGTTCTTGTTCAGTCATCTTTTCAAAAACTTCAGTAGCCTCTTGACTATTTTAAAATGAATGTTTTTTAAAAGAGCAAAAATCATATCCTGGAGTCTGAAATAATTCCTGATTTCTAAGCAGTATTTTTCAACTGAAATTTTGCAGTTCCGCATTTCCAATATAGTTTTTGCCTTTTCCATATTTAAGACATTCCCCAAACAAACAGACAATCAGTATGTGTTTTATTTTCTCTTAAATCACTTGTATATACTTGTATATACTGTAAACCTATAAATTTTAGTAAAAAAACTGACCCCAAGAAACTGTATAGACTTATACATGGGGCAAAGTTTTCTACCTTAACTTTTTTTTTAAAAGGAACAATCATTTTCTCTTAATAAAATAGTGAAAGGCAAGAACTTAGTCTGCTTTCTATTTTCTCAGTGCTCCTTTGAGGGGAAGCGCCAAAAAGCCACCACCAACACTTTCCTGCCTAGCCATTCAAAAATACTAAAGACACTAGAGAGAGAAGAGGGAATCAGTGCTTCTTTAAGACTTTTCAGAGATCAACTAAGCTTTCATCTTTCTCCACTCTACACAGAGAAATGGGTGGTTCTTTTTTTATAAGCGCTAATATACAGTACCTTAATATTCTCAAAAAGGAGCATGCCCCCTTCTCTGAGCAGTGAAATGTCTTTTTGAATGCCCAAGTGGGAAAATGGCACTGGCCATTCTGCCAGTGCATTCACCTCTCTGCAGAATGCCCCTCAACTTATCCATGAGCCATATCAAAATTTATAACTCTGCCCTCAACCCTTCCCTCAATTTTTACATAATGTCAACTTATGCACATATATACAGTGATTTAGTATGACTTTAGGAATTAAGTACTACTACGGGAATTTAATTCTGTTTAATCGCTTTAGTAATGCACTTACTAAATTATCTGTCTCGGGATCTTCACAAAAAAAAGGTTTTCCTTCCTTCTCCTGTTTCCTAACAAAGTTTTCTATATCTACATCAAAACTTGCAGATGTTGTGCCTTCTGATCCTTGTGTAGATTGTTCACATTTTTCAAATAACAGTGCTAATAAGGGGAAAAGAGGATGTCTGGAAATAAAAACAGATAAAAATGAACAAACATTAATACTGTGAAAGTTTATGTATGTATATCTACACGATGAACACAATAAACATTTGATACACATGTAAAAAGCCTAAAAAGAAAATAAATGGAAGTTAGTAAAATATTGAATAAGGATGAATAATAAATACATGATGTAATCTTTCTCACTCGCTCTAATACAAGTACTAGCACACTGTGAAATCACTGGAACTTGCAACACAGTTCTGTGCTTGCCCTCTCAAACATTAAGGCCTGCAGTTTTCAATAAGGCTAACTGACTGACATTTCTGCATTGTAGTTTTATACATATAAAGAAAATGTTATCCAGAAAAAATAGAACTGCAAGGTATTTCAGTTTCTGGATAAGATACAAAATACTGTACATTTACTTCATTTTATTCTTCTTCACAAATGTGGTCTATCTTTTGGTTGCCCTTGCTGCAGCACTAAATATCTGTCCTGCAAAAGAATTTGTAGATGTCCCCAGATACTGCTTTGTGTGTGTGAGAAAGAAAGAAAAACTGGAATTGGTACAAATTCAATAAATACAAAACCCCAAAACATAATCTTATGAAAATATATTTGAATACATTTTCCCAAGTCAGGATGACAATAGAAGAGCGATTATACCCATAAATCTAATGGGAATCAGTGAGGATTTTCTAAATGGCATTAGTTTTAAGATGCTCTGCCTGTTAAGGGGAGAAAGGCTCCACCTATCTCAGTATCTTATCTTCTCCAGATCTCTGTATGCCCATTTGGTTCAGATGTTGTCTGCATGCCTACACTCCCACTAGATGCAGCACCCCCACAATTGAACAAATCCACTCCACCTTCTAAAGAGAACAATGTATCTTAAAAATTTAGTAATTTGTTTTTGTCAACACTGCTACCTGTAAATGGCCTGCTTGTCTGCATCCATCGGTGTCTGGGACTCGACTGGGGAAGGACTCAGTCCTCCTGCATCTGTTTCCAAGCAGTTTGGATCTTGCTCAGTTTTTAACTCTGTTACTACTTGCATTTGCTGGAAAAGAAAGATGCTTTATATTGCCAACTGCCTAGATTCACCACTAAAGGCTCTGTTTCGAAGCTAAGAGAAAAGCAAAGGCCTACTAACTGGCCAGGAAGCTGGTATGACTTGGCAGCTATACAAAAAGCACAAGTAGTTAACAAAAAACTCATTTAATCTTTGTAACATTTGGAGGCAGGGCGGCAGTGTAAAGTTCAGTATAAGTTTGACTTATCAGATTTTTTAGTGTATTGACTATTACAGAGTGCTATATTTCAGTACCAGCTATTTTTGGATAAAGCTATGCACACATCGCTCCAAAAATCAATCTGAGAAAACAAAGCTTGAAAACATCTGCTTGCACATCTTACTCGTCCTTTTCATTTCTTCTATATTGTGTAGCTTAGAGGGAAACATTCTTTCAAATAACTCTGACAGATCCTTCATTATTGAGGGTTTAATACCCTCTTCCAAATCCAGCCTATGCAGGCACTTAGAAATGACAAAATACAATTTAGGAGCAATTTTTTTTAGCATAGAAATAGAAACAACTATTGCATTTAGGATGAAAATATTTTAGGCAGGAATTTCAATCACTAGTTCCATGACAACCATGGGTCTATCCCAAATAATATCTGGGCTCACCCATGCTGTAGGACACACACTGGACCTAATTTTCTGTGGAGGGTAGGATGATGGTAATCTGAGAGTGGAGGAACATTCTATTGTTCTGTTGCCATGGGTTAAGTTCATGGGTTGACTGATGATGTTATTTTATATTGTTGTAAGATGTTGTTCTTATAAATTTTTATTGTGCTATGTTTTAATTCTATGTTTCATTGGGCCTGTCCCTAGGTAAGACACCCCGAGTCCCTTCGGGGAGATAGTAGCTGGATACAAAAATAAAGTTGTTGTTGTTTTCCAGTGTTATTGACACATTTCAATGTCTGCAGCCTGACGATGTGGACAAGATATTTCTGAAAGGTGTCAGGGGAGGGGAGGTGGCACATTGGGTAAGGGGAATAGTGAATGCTTCATGCAGCAAGAAATTTCTATGTCTAAAAGAGGCTGTGGTGAGAGTATTATTGAAAAAAAAATTCCCTGGATCCTACCATACTAGAAAACTATCAGAGAGTCCCCAAAATGCCATTTCTGAGAAAGGTACTGGAGGCATTCCTGGATAAAATGGGTCGTCTAGGTCCATTTCAGCCTGGTTTCAGGCCTGGGTTATGGGATAGACAACTTTGATCACTTTGATAGATGGCCTATGTGGGGGGCTAGTCAGGGAGAGTGTGTTTCTTTTGGTTTCTTTGGACCTCTCAGCAGTTTTCAATACTGGTATTCTAGGTTGCCTCTCTGAGATGGCTCATGGGCACTGTGTTTAAAGTGGCTCCAGTCTTCTTCTTCTTTTTTAATAGAGGGACTCCGAAGATGCTGCAGGGAGATGGCTGTTCATCTATCCTGTAATGTCCCTCAGGACTTGGTTCTGTCCCCCAGGCAGTTTAACATCTAATGAAACTACTGGGAGAGATTATCTTGAGTACAAAACTCAGGATGACCAGTATGCTGATGGCATACAATTCTATCTTTCCTTTCCATCTGATTCTAAGAAAAGATTTTTCTATACTAAAGCAGCATCTGCTATCAGTAATGGACAGGATTAGGTTGAATATCCTGAATCTTCTTCCAGAAAAGATAAAAGAGCTCCTGGTTAGTTGGAAAGGTGATCAGGGAATAATTCAACATGTGCTGAATGGGATATACTCTACTAAAAATCTCAAATTCACTGGTTGGGTATGTTCCTGGACTTAAATTTGAAACTGGAAGCTCAAGGTTTGCATGTGGTCAGGAGGGTATTTGTACAATGTGACACTTGCACCAATTTCTTAAAAAGTTAGATTTAAAACTATGTTTTAAATAAGTTTTAAATGTTTTAATTTTCTTTAAAAGGTTAAAGGGTCAGGCTTTAGCACAGCAGGTTAACCACCATCTGCAATAAATATTGCCAATCGAAAGGTTGGAACTCGAAGCCCGAGTTGGGGGTGAACACCTGACTTTCAGCCCAGCTCACTGCCCACCTAGGAGATTGAAAACATCTGTAAGTAAATAAATAAGTACTGTTTAAGTGGGGAGGTATTTTAATAGCGCCATAAGGAAATACTAGAAAAATGCCAGCAATTCGATCAAAGGAGGAAGTCTGTGAACAGGGCTCTTCGGCCTGGTGGATGGAGCGACAGCACCCCCCCCCCCCCCCCCCCCTCCCGTGGCCAGAATCAAGCACAATATCCAATACGCTGAAAATGGAAAAGCCATATACCTCTATCTATGTACTGTGTCTGTCCAGTCAGTGTATAACAGCATTGAATGTTTGCCGTATATGTGTTCTGTGCCCCCTCTGGGGTGAGAAGAGTGGAATATAAGTACTGCAAATAAATCCTTTTTAATAATACTGATTTAATTTATTTTTAACTTTTTAAAATGTTTTAAGAAAATCTTCTTAAATTATTGAAAAACACCCTGAATTCAAGTTTGAAAGAAACATAGGATGCAAATTCAATATATCCACAATTACACTTTACTTCATAAACAAAACAGAACAACTGGGTTGTTGTAGGGTTTTTTGGGTTATATGGCCATGTTCTAGAGGCATTCTCTCCTGACGTTTCGCCTGCATCTATGGCAAGCATCCTCAGAGGTAGTGAGGTCAGTGATTCCGGCCATGAAAGCCTTCGACAATACATAAAACAGAACAAATCATCCTTAGGCCTGACATTTAGGTTTGTTAGTAAAACAGGAAGTGGGCAAGGTTGGGTGAAAATCTAGTGTGGCAACTATATACTGCTCTTATACTACAGAACATTTTAGTAGCAAGGCAGAGATAGCAAAGTGATGGTGGAAAAACACTATCTTAACCACAAACAAAGGTATTTCAAGTGCCAAGCCCCTTAACTAAAGCAAACTCATAGTACATGTGACAACACTGTGCCGAAACCCTAATTGGGTAACAGGCTGTTAGCCACACAATGATCCCTTCCTACTAATAGTGTTAGGTTACGCATCACAAAAAGCAGCAGCGAAGGAGATGAAGACAAATGGTTTGAGATAACAATGAATGACATGCGAGATCACACATTAAAATTATATATTTATTCTTTCAGATCACATCTGGTATAACTTCTAGAATTTGACAAAAATACTCATTTCATAAATGCATCATAAAATCTGATTTGGGTGCAATAACAGGACTCTATAGCTACATCAGACTTTAACATTACTCATGTCTAATCTTTAATATAGAATCTTGAATTCTTAAAAATGCTATTGGTTGATTGAGTTCTGTTCGAAGATGGATCTGAGCAAGTGAAAAATGCAACATTACATGAAGGAAAAAGCTCTGTATAATGGTATAAAGTTAAAAATAATTAGGGTAAAGGAATTAATAAATAAAAAGCCTGTAAGATTTTAATGATTTTTCCACAATCAATTTATCAAATACCACTGTTCAATTTTCACAGAAATTCTTGATCTCCATTAATTCAGTTTTCAAAGGCAACATCGGAGGAGACATGTGGAAAATTCAAGAATAGGGCTTGCATATTTCATTACCACTACATTTTACAATATAATTAAAAAAAACATTTTTTCTTATTGTCAACACAGGTAGAATAGCATCACGATCAATCACCATTATTAAATATTGAATTACGTTATAAATACATATCACTTATTGTTTTCCTAGTGATCTTATCCAACCCACCTTTACCTCACCCTTGTGTCTAACAGTTTTACACCCCTCTCCACCTCCCCCCTCACCCTCAGGGAACAGTATTTATCTTAATTCAGATTTTAATTTAATTGAACAATCATAAAAAGAGAATGGTTCAGCTCTTTATATCTTTCGTTTCCTTCAACTTTTTCTATCAGTCTTTCCCATTTCTGAACCCAAGTCTCCTTAAATCGGCATCTTGTGTATTTGGCTATTCTTTCATAGATATAATCCTGAAGCATATAATCTGTTTAATAATCATACCATTTTTAACCTCCTACTTTCTGTTGTCTTTCCACCCCAAAGCCACAGTTGCTTGGGTGGCTACTATCATGTATTTTATAATTTCCTCCAGGCTTTGATATTTTCTTTTTTGTCTAATTTCTGTGTGAAAAATTCTTTTTTGTTCAAAGCTAGTTTATACCCTATTAATGCTTCCATTTCTTTCTTTACCTTATTATAAAATACACTATAATTTTAATATACTATTGATATGTCTATTTTTACTGTTGATATGACCTTGAAGATAATTCAATTTTCAGCTTGCATTTTTGTAGTGCTTGCTTCTCTGTTTTGTGTGGTACTCTAGATGTTCTTGGAGTTAATCTTACCAGTAGCTATGTTAGCTAGGATTGGGAGGTACACTACAACTGCAATTGGAGGGCCACACAGTTCCCATCCTGGATTTATAGTGTTTAACGTCAGGCAGGAAATACTTCAGTTTGTTTCTTCATGTTTGCACTTGTCTTGAGGCACTGAATGGTTGCCTCTGTGTTTCTAATTTGTAGTCTTGTGCATTTGTATAGAATCGCTATCCATTTCTATTTGTTTCATTCGTATGGACCCATTTTTGAGCTTCTGAAAACAGGCACTTTTCCGAATGGACGTTTTCTTTATGCATCCAAAAGAATGAAAATTTTCATCTCATTGGTGGCTATGGAGGGGCTTCCCAGGCACCGGATAAATAGAAAAGGGGGGGGGGGTCCAAGGGACTGTTGGTGAGGACCCACAGAAGGGACAAGGTCTGTGTAGTGTGGTGTCAGAAGTTTGTCCAAGCGTGGTCGAACTCCTTTAAAGGTGACACTATGACACCTTTTCCCAACCCATTGGCTGTTCTTCTTAAAAAGTATTACAGATATGATTTTTCTGTTTCTGGAAATGCAGGGAGAAGATGGCAGAACCAACCCAGGCACTGGAGAGAGGAGGGTGAGATTTTTCTAAGGGACTGTTGGTGAAGACTCACAGAAGA